CAGAAGCGCCGTCAGAGCGTCTCGAAGGGGCTCAGCAAACAGTCGAGAGATGTAGGCACTTTCGAAGTGTATTTCGCTGGACGACATCCTCCTTCCGGTCGACGGTGGTTATGCCTTTTTGGCCAAATTCCGAGGTTCCGAATGGTCTGTGAGAATGGGCTACTTTGAGACGATCTACAAAGCGGATCTGGTCAAAGGAAAATGAAGGTCCAGCTGCGAAGCACCTCATCGGCGAAACCGATTTGCCGCTTTCGGAGAGCTTTTAAACATGGGCTTCTATCGATCCGACGACCACTGTAAGACGTGGACTCTACAGTGGGCTCGGATGTACGCCCGTCTGGCCGAAGAGTCGGCTGAAGGTTTTTTTGGACCGGTTTGGCTGTTTGTCGCGCCACCGAGGCCACCAACCGAGTCTCCTTGATCGGGCGGGTTCGTACTCCGTTTGAGCATCAGACTCGACGGGACTCGAACTATGGGATCAAGGCAAGCAGTAAAGAGTCCGGCATATTCGACTCGAAAACTGGTACAGGTCGGGGACGAAGCCATCCGGGTCGTCAGGAGGCAGATTTGAGGCGGGAATAAAGGGCATGGCACAAAGTGACGTTGATGCATTTGGGTCTTCGACGGTGACACGAAGTAAAGTGTGGACTGCGCGAAAACTCCACTTTTGTGTACATTTGCCCCAACTTTGCGACTGACACTAGCGCAGCTGTCCACTTCACCTCCTTCTTAATATTGTTGGGATCACTTCTATTCCCAGTGAAAGTGTGTGGGTGGAAGAGCATCGAGGATTGAGCAAACCAGTTGACGACGGTGGATTCCCCTTAATTAGAGCTCTTGTATGTCTTCGCTGGCGTATTCGTAACCGACACAATCTCGTTCGTCGCGATTGAAAGCAGCATCAAAGGAGAGATGCATTATCGCAAACATATTCACATCAAAAATTTGAAAATCTTTATATTATATCGTAAATAGATGTATTTTTATAAAGTATTACCCAATTTGGGTAGAGCAAATCACCTGTCAGTCTAGAGACATTTTCCTGCGTCCGCTTGTGTGACGGTGATAATAGCGAGATTAAACTACGAATATTTTGCTCCAAACTTTCAATAGAAACGGAAATGAACTCAATGGGCTGGTAGATCCGATGGGAATTTCGCGTTAGTGTAGCAGAAATGTGAGTTTCCGATAAGTAGAAGAGTGCAAGTTAGTATAAGAGTTGATCGCAAGCTGTAAGTTTGTGAAACAAGAAAAGGTTACAGGGAAGGTACGATGTGGTATGACGAGAAAAATCGAGGTAGGGTGACAGAAGGATTACTGCTCTAGCAGTCTTTTTGTCTATTAACGTTGGTCTTGCTTCCATTTCGACTGAATTTGTGCGACAAAAAATTCAGAGGTCACTCCTAACAGTGGACGACGGCGGATTACTTTTGGCTTTCTGTCATGTGGCCTTACTGGAATATTCTGGCTGACGATGAACCTGAGGAAATATACTCCTATTCCTTTGAAATGGTGCTAGGACTTTGTCTGTCTTA